AACTGAATACTTGATTCTCCTGGGTGTTTGCCAAAGAGGTTGTCTCTGTGGTAGAGAAGGAATAGTGCCGACATTCTATACTGACTGTTTGGGAGTGCATCTCTCCTGAGACATCTGACTTGTTTAGTTTATGCAGAAATAACATTAACGTGGTTCTGATAATGTGAACTAAGGTAGGAGTTGATATGGACGCTGAGCCGGACACATCACCCACCCAGTGTCGATTAAGTAAAAGTAAAGGACCTTCAGGCGTATGGGCAAATAGGGCTAGAACTATATTTTACAGACCCATATTTTATAGACCTATCGGCACTGAATGGGTGATGTGGTCTGCATTACACAGGCCGCCTTTACTTCCCAGGACTTACCTGGTACCTACTCGATGCCAAGGTCACATAAAATATAGGTCTAGCCCTATATGTCCAAGATGCTTGAATGCTTAGAAAGGGGTCTTTTAATTTTTTTGCTTTCACTTTAGAATGAAGGGAACAAACCTTCATTCCTTTGTTTGTTTGTTTGTATTAGTATCCAGAAGCTATGAGTTGTTAACCCATAGGCTCGGTATTATGGATATCACAACCTTTCGGGCCTTGATTCCATCGTAAATACCGTAAATCTGGGAGAAATGTGGCTTTTCTGCCTACCTCCGGGAGTAAACCCGGACCACAAGGAGTTCGTCACCCTGTCACCGCGCAATCCGGTTTATCCAGCTACGCCAGAGAGCCGGACTTCATTCCTTTAAACGTGAAAGACAAGACCAAAGAGTAGGAAAATGATGGCTATAAAATAAAGTGTTTTTTTAAGCAGCTTATAAGGGAAGCTTGAATGCAATCCAACCGAATTTTCATGATTCAAGAGGCTTGATTTTGATGATACGTCATGGTAAAATATAGAGACTTTTATTAGATTTGTTGTCTGATAAAGTTATGCACATAGATGATTCAAAGTGCTGTGATCGGTACAACAGTCTGAAGAAATTTGCATCAAGCTGAACAAACACTATACTAAAAGCTGTAGGAACGGTGAAATGTACTCTGAAGTTGTGAAGATTAAACAGTTCTTTTTTGCTATTACAGCACACAATGCTTAGGCAGAAAAGCTATTTTCTTTACTGCATGCGGAATTGACTAATGAGAGAAAACGTCTTAGTGTGGAATGAGTAAATGGACCAATGACAGAAAACGCCTTAGCGTGGGTTGAGTCAATGGACCAATGACAGAAAACGTCTTAGCTTGGGTTGAGTCAACTCGAACCAATGACAGAAAATGTCTTAGTATGAGTTGAGTCAATGGACCAATGGCAGAAAACGTTATAGTGTTGACTGAGTCAATGAACCAATAGCAGAAAACGTCATAGTGTAGATTGAGTCAACGGACCAATGGGAGAATCGTCGTAGTGTGGATTGAGTAATTGGACCAGTGAGAGGAAAGGTCTTAGTGTGGACTGAGTCAATGGATCAATGGTAGAAAACACCATAGTGTGGGTTGAGTAAATGGACCAATGACGAAAACGTCTTAGTGTGGACTGAGTAATTTTACCAGTGAGAGAAAACATCTTACTGTCGGTTGAGTCAATGCACCAGTGACAGAAAACATCTTACTGTGGGTTGAGTCAATGGACCAATGACAGAAAACATCTTACTGTGGGTTGAGTCAATGGACCAATGACAGAAAACATCTTACTGTGGGTTGAGTCAATGGACCAATGACAGAAAACGTCTTAGTGTGGACTGATTAAATGGACCAATGGAAGAAAACGTCTTAGCTAAGATTAAGTCAATTTCCATTGTAGACTTAAGTTTCAAACATTTTTCATGCATGCTATTTTATGGACATTTGATGCAAAATAAAGACATTTCAGAAAAAAATGCGGGTCATCAGAAGAGCACTCACGGAACACTTACGGAACACTCACGGAACACTCACGGAACACTCACGGAACACTCACGGAACACAATTTAAATGGAATTCATTATTAGGAGAAGTGTCCTCATTTCAGAGGATCAAAATATTTAAGGATCCTCATTTCAGTTATTCATATATTCCAATTATATATTGACAATTACAAAAGGGCTGAGATTCTCTGTTGGTGACGGCGTGCTGGGCAAGGGCTCTATTACAAAGAAATCGTTAGGATGGGGGAAGGGGGGGGGGGGAAAGGCCCTCCCACATTTTATAGCCAGAAATAGTCTTCAGATAACAACCGACCCGGCTGCATCGAGATACCAGCTAAGTGATTTTGTGTATCTATGTAGTATTGTTTAATTTGTATGTGCTGATGAAGGCTCAATAGCCGCAACGTTCACGTTTTGTTTGTGTTTGTTATATTGTGAAACTTGCTAATATACTTTTCGTTCGGATTTAAATATTTTCAGATGACTAAGCAATCTTTATTGGGGCGGGGTGGGGCTGGGAGGGGGTGATAATGATGATGAGGATAAGGATAATAATGATGATAATCATAATAATATTCTTTTTAATAATAAAAAAATTAATAATAA